AAGTCTGCTGCGTGGTGTCTGCATATAATTAGAACGTGTTTTATGGTCCGATTATCAGGAAGTGTTTACGTTAGCGTGGTAGTTGTTAGTTTTGTCAGCAAAACTCCGCTCTGGTCTCTGAGAGTTGTGAAAAGTGCTTATAAACTCATCACAGTGAATAATTAGGATACTTGGAATGCAATAGCGAGGAATAACTTTGAATCCCTGCAAAGATTTGTTTAGTTAATTAAAAGTGTTTTATTTTTCAAATCACATTAGCATGCTTGATGTTGTTAGCTTTACCACTACTGCAAAACCGTATTAGTGAAAAGTGCTTATAAACTCACTGTAGTGAATAATTAGGATGCTCGGAATGCATTAGTGAGGAATAACTTTTAAGTTGTTTAGTTAATTATAAAGCACTTTATTGTTCGATAATAAGAAAGTTTGTTAGCATGCTAGTTGTTGTTAGCTTTCCTGTCATGTTAAAACTCCACTCTGGTCTCTGGGAGTTGTGAAAACCTTTTAGGATGCCCTGAATGCATAAGGTAAGTGAGGACTGACTTTGGACCTAGTTTAGTTAATTGTCAAGTGTTTTCACGTGTGCATAGGCGGACCAGACATTCTCTGGACAAATTTCTGAATTATGCCAAAATGTCTTGGGATTTTGTCTTTATCAACTGACAGCTTTGAGTGGGATAATCTTTGCTCATAAGATCAGATACACTACCGGTCAAAAGTTTTAGAACACCCTAATTTTTCCAGTTATTTATTGCAATTCAAGTCATGCAAGTCCAATGAAGAGCTTGAAATGGTACAAAGGTGAGAGCTGAACAGACAGAGGTTTAAAAAAAAAGATAAAAGATACAAAACACAAGTCCAAGCTCTGCCAAACTACCTCAGGAAAAAAGAACAAGATGGTGAGCTTGAAAACATGAAGTGTCCAGCAGCACAGTGTCCAGACTTAAACCCCATCGAACTGGTTTTGGGATGAACTGGACAGAAGAGTGAAGCAATCTACAAGTGCCACACATTTAAGGAACTTCTGCAACAGACTTGGGAAGAACTTTCTGAAGAATATTTGATTCTATTGTAAAAAGAACGAACCACAAGTGTGATCAGCTGTTATATCTGCCAAAGGTGGACACTTTCATGAATCAAAAGTTTAGAATACTTTTTGATTGGTCAACAGTAAACAGTAAAAAATAGTGGTGTTCTAAAACTTTTGACCTGTGGTGTACAGTATATAGAGGAACTTACAATAAAATCATCTTATTATACTTCCCATGAATGCAATCACCGGCTCTTCTCCAGCATTGTGCATCTAAACTCCGCCTTTCCCCTCGTCACTCCCGTGTGCTCTCACATCAAGTATTATGTATTATTATAAAGCCATATGAGCTTCTGTGGAGAGGTTGGATGATCATGACATAGTTATTCATGTCTCAAACTCTACAGCACTTTTTATTTGATGAAAATTTACACTATATAAGTGGAGATATGTTCATAAATCCCAGCTGGAAAAGTTTGTAGTATTGTGAACTCTAGTAGACCTCTAAAACATAAAGAAATACAGTAAATTGTCCAAAATGTCCCTGATGAGGACCGCAGACTCCCTGATACACAGAATATCACACATGTGTAATGTTAAATTCAAACATCAATAGATATCGCTGGTTACAAAGTACAAACATCACCAGTTTATTCACCCCTGAACCTGGTGTCCTCTTTTTTGATAACCCCAATCTGGTCACCCTATGTGTGCACATTAGCATGCTACTTGTTGTTAGCTTTACCATCAGTACCGACAGTCCAGCCCACTCCGTACGCCACGCGGACAGTCCCTCCTTCCGTATGTCGCACGAGCTGCGCCACTAAACCAGGTCTAAAAACAGGTCTAAAACCAGGACTAAAACAGGATTTAGCCAGGACTTAACCATGCTGCCGGACCGCCCACCACGCCTCCTCCCATACACAGCCCAATTCCTTTCGCTTCTCCATGTTTGATAGTGCTTAAGAAAGCAAATGTTCCTGTCCTGTGGAACTTGTGTGTGGGAGCGCGACAAAATATTGCAGATGCGGGCAGAAGCGGGACTGAAAATTGCAATTCTTTGTGGGAGAGGACGGGAGCAGGACTGCACAGTGCGGGAGCGGGACTAAAAATTCTGTCCCACACAGACCTCTAATGCTTCAAATGCATCAATGACGAAAAATGTTAGATCATTGCAAATATCTTAAATAGTTTACTAGATTATAAAGTGTTGACTGATAATCAGGAAGTGCATTAGCTTGCTAGTTGTTGTTAGCTTTGTCATAACTCTTATAAACTTTTGTGCCTTCTTTATCATTATTATTAGTCTGTAAGACCATAAACAAAAACAAAAAATCCTCACATTTTTCATTCTCATTACTGTTGATTTTGTACGATCATAAATGATCAACTTTTGTGCCTTCTTTATCATTATTATTAGTTTGTACGACCATAAACGAAAACATATTTGTGTGTGTATGTATATATGTGTTTGTGCATGTATGTATGTGTATTTATATTGTATATACTGTATGTACTGAATATTTTAGATGCATATGTCTATATATATGTGCGTATAAGTAAGCACTCCAAAAGTAAAAAAAAAAAAAAAGTTTAGGATTAAGGTCAACCATGGGGTAGGACACAATATATTTTTAAACTTCAACCTCCTCCTTTTGAGCAGAAATGGTCCCATCATGTGTACATATCCTTGTGTTTGTAATGTAACTTATATAGGTATTTTGCTCAAATTAATAAATTAAACTAAACTCTGCATTGGTCTCTGAATGTTGTGAATATCACCTATAAACTCACTTCAAATGAACTGTTTTCCACGTTTTTAAGACTGTATAAATCAGATAAAGTGCCTTTAAACACAAAACCCTGACTCAATAACATTTCTTTTCCAGCCGATTCCCGCTGAAATCCGAATCATTGACATTGGCTGCGCTCTTCATGCTGCAAATCCCGGGTATTACTGCACCAGCCTGGGCAGATTTCCCCTGGGTCCCTGTTCGCTCTCTCTCACCTGTGACACTCATTTACTAATGTCTTCTGAGCGCTAATGAAGCCCGTTCAGTCCGACACACCTTGGCTGGGCCCCCGATGCCATTACACTACACGGTGACATCAAGCAGATTAGCCTGACTTAGCCACACTTATCCCTCTTCGGTGTCCTTGGGTGTTAGTGGTTAGCTGTTGGCCGCCAGCGATGCGTATCAGTCACACGAGAAGGTGAGAGATCCGCTGCCTGCCTGTGTTGTCTCTTTCAAACGTGTAAATGAGGCACTGGTGAGAAGAGCTGCAGGCATGTGTGGATTAGTACACACTAGTCACAAGGAGGGGGATACGCTGACAGGAGGATTGTTTGAGAGTTTTTATGTTTTATTTATTTCGTAAAAAAATATCTGGGATCTCTTCAAATAGACTTAAAGGCAGCCAATTACAGTAGTATACATATTTTTCAAGGTATTGGCCACGTTTACATGATGTTTTTTAATTCCGAATTAATTGTTCTGAATTAAACAGTTCAGAATTAAAATATTCTCCTTCAAGTTTACATGGAAATAATAATTCTGAATTGAGGTCTACATGGAAAACACGTTAAATAATCTTTATTTAATTCTGCTCGGTGTCTGGGGTCATGAAGGGTTCTGATTGGACAGGGACACGAACGTATTTACATCTTCTGAAAGAAAACAAAATGAACTCGCCTACTGGGAGCAGCTGAAGTGTGTGTAATATATGACTTTAAGTCAGAGTGGGGCAAAAACTGTCATTGTGTCCTTAGGCAAGACACTTCACCCACATTGCCTAGTATGAAAGTGATGTGTGTGTGAGTGCTGGTGGTGGCTGGAGGGGCTGATGGCGCAGATTGGCAGCCTTGCTTCCATCAGTCTGCCCCAGGGCAGCTGTGGCTAAAGTAGTAGTGTACCACCACTGAGTGTTGAGTGAATGAATAATGAACTGTAAAGTGCTTTAAGTATCTTGAAGTGTGCTATATATAAATGCAATGATTAATTAATTAAGTAAATGTTACACTGTATTTCAGAGCAGTTATCTGCCCTTTCTTCTACAGTTTTCCACAGAGCTGAAGCAATAAATAAGTAGATTTCTTTGTGGTCCAATGCTGAGGGGCTATTTATGAGCATGTTCTTGGACATTCTGCCTAAGAGCTTTAGGTTCAAGGTTTTAAGCAATGAGAAATACATACAGAAAACCATTGGCAAAGTTTACACTTTTACTCAGAAGTACATTTCTAAATGGATACTTTTCCTTAAAGAGCTCTTACACCATTTTCTCATCTGTTATAATGTTTCCTCATCACAAACATACACGGGGATGTGTTTTGTTTCATTCACACACGTCAAACACACAAATCCAGCATGTTTAGTTCTTTCCTCAAACTAAAAACACTGTTTCACTTTGTGATGTCATGTGGTAATACAGGAAGTAATCCAATGTATTTTTAAACTGCATACACCTTCACTAGAATCATTTGGATAATTTCAGCTCTGAAATTGCCAATCTCTAATGAACTAAAGGTAAAAGGAGCTGTTAACTTGAAAACTACCACTTCATAACATCAGAAAGTGGAACACAGCATTTACACTTTAGAGATGTACAGATTAATAATAAAGGATAACTCAAGTATATTTTCATGCGCTGTTCCTTTGCCAGGAATGATCAAATTAAATGTATCTACTGTATCTCCATAGATAATGTTCCAAAGTATGCCTTAAATCTCATTGTTTCTTTATTTTAACACGCACTATCCCAACCAAGTAACTGATTTTAATTTTTTAATCATTAAAAATATTCTTTGAGTGAAATTTGCAAAATAAACAATGTGTCTACAATAAAGCAAGACAATGTGACTCAAATTCTAGAACAAAAACTCTTCAGAAATGAATTAGTTAAAATGTCACAACAAGAGATACTCCACAAGCAGCTAATCAGAGTAGACTTTGAGATAACTCAGCCAACCCACCTGCTTGTTCATGAATATATAGATGAATGGATTGACGACGGTGGAAAACTTGGCTAGCAGTGACGGCGTGATGCTCGCTTCCGGGGTCAGGAGGTCGCAGGGGCCGAAGGTGGACAGCAGGGCGGCGACCCCATACGGCAGCCAGCAGATCAGGTAGCACACCACCATCGTCACCACCATCACCAGGACCTTCTGCTCTCTGCGCCGAGGCACTATAGAGCTCATCTGGCTCACCTGGACAACAGACAATCAATGAAGATGTTAGAATGGAAAGCTGGAAAATTTTTATGGAAATCAAATCGAAATGGGTAAAATTTTAATGGTGCACTGTGTAACTTTTTGGTTGGTGGTCTGTCACCTGCTTGTGTCTATGGATTTGTCACTTCTATGCCTCGAATGTTCCACAATATGACATTAAACGGGTCTACCTTTTGTGGATTCAATTACAGGTGGTTTTATACCTTAAAATGCACTAGACGGTTCACTAAAACCTCTGAAGTGCAAGTTCGGGCACCATCAATTCAGGAAAGAGCCATATATTCAGTATTGACAATGATTCTCGAGATCGAGATTTAAAGCTGGAACAAAGAGAATGTTTGGAGAATTTTATCAAGGGGAAAGACGTTATTGTCCTTCTTCCTACAGAATTTGGGAAAAGCTTAATATAGCAGTTAGTCCCGTTAGTGGCGCATTACATACATCATGACCAAACAGCAGCGATTGGTTAAATTAAAAAGTTAAATAAACCATTGAGCGAACAAATTCTAATGCTGCGAGGTCAGATGGTTTTTACAGAGTGAAACCGGCTGATGAATCAGGCTTCCCTATTAGTATTAGTATTAGGGCCCAACCGATATATCAGTATGGGATATATCGGTTATCTTGCCGATATGGGCGATATAGTCCATGTGGGCATGTTAAACCTCATTATAAAGCTTAGACTCTCAATATTATGTCCATTTAATCCAATTTACAGACAGATAAATGTCCTAATATATGGTATTGCATCGATATTTATCTGTGCAGTCATTTGTCTGTGTGTGTGACACCGTACTGCCCTTGAACGCACCCCCAGAGTCACGTTTTTTCTTGTTTACACCCGCAGCTGCTGTCAACATGCTGGATTATATCTTTTTATGGACAATTGTTTTGAGTCAGGATTGAAAGGACACTTAATTGTGAAGACTTGAGGTATCTGTGTGAGCGGTGAGTGTTGCAAATGTGTCGTTTTTGAAGCTACTTTTCATTCTTTCTTGTTGGTTAGTGATTAGCTGCTGTAGCTGTCGCACATAAACAACCTGTTTTCTCTTATATTGGCTGACTGTAAAGTGACTATAGAGGCTGTGTACATGTTACTGGACCTGCATTTATATGTAAATGAGCAGTGAATAGAGGTGTGAATGATCCACATTTACGCATAATTAATTACTGCAGTGTGCACGCATTTACTGTTAAAGGCTGATAGCAGTAGTTTACTTTCTTTATCGGCTAGAATGTCATGTAAAAATCCCATTAGGCCGACCTACTGTCTTTAAATATGACTGTAAAGAGGCAGAATAACAATAAATGTAGTCTAAATAAACTCAATTTAAAATCCAGTTTTATAATCTATTCAAGGTTTATTGTGGCCATACCGGCTTGTCAAAGCCTGATCCCGTTAGAGCTCAGAGGCTAAGCAGGGCTGGGCCTGGTTAGTATTTGGATGGGAGACCGCTGGGAATTCCAGGTGCCACAGTGGGGCGCCAGTAGCAAAAGCTGTCGTTGTGTCCTTGGGCAAGACACTTCAGCCACATTGTCTAGTATGAAAGTGGTGTGTGTGTGTGAGTGATGGTGGTGGTCGGAGGGCGCAGATTGGCAGCGTCGCTTCTGTCAGTCTGCCCCAGGGCAGCTGTGGCTACAGTAGTAGCTTACCAGCACTGAGTGTGGAGTGAATGAACAATGAACTGTAAAGCACTCTGGGTATCTTGAAAGGCTCTATATAAATACAATGATCAATTCATAATAATTATAGTGAATTTTTACATCACCAAATATATCGGCTTTTATATCGGCTATCGACAGCTCCAACTTCCATTTTATCCTGTCTTTTACAGGATAAAAACTGCTATCCCTGTAGTTTAGGTCTGTACAAACATGTTATGAAATGTGATTCTTAGTCTGTATTTCAGTCTTGTTTAATAAATGTGAACTTTGCAGAGAATCCTCTTGTTAAAACATAAATCTGCCTGATAACCTGTCCAGCCAGAACCACACGCTTTGACAAATCTTTACAAAAACGAGAGGATCTGGAACTGCGTCCTGTCTCCTTGATTGAGGACTGAGAAACAGCATGGACTTTTGAGAAAAATCAATCACAGCATCGAAATATTACTTATCTCAGTTTAAGTAAGTTATACATTTTGTTCTGAATGTTACAAGACGAGATGCCTTCCTCATCCAGAGACACATGCTACAAATTAGTCTGTGGTTGGATCATCTCAAGTTTGGACAGAGGTTTTTCATGCTCCATGGTCCGATTCCAGACCCTTCAGAATTTGAAAAGAATGTAGAACGAATTGGCCAGCATTATTAATCCATATTTGTGTTCTTTGTCAGGCTAGTCCTTGTTTTACTATTTTTGGATCTGGTTTAGTCCTAGCCTGTTTCATCAGCCGGTTTCATTTCGTGGAAACCATCTGATCTTGCAGCATTAGGATTCGTTTGCTCGACGGTTCGCTGCTATTGCTGCGCCAAATCCTGTAGGAAGAAGGGCAATAACGTCTTTCCCCTTGATATAATTCACCAAACATTCTCTTTGTTACAGTTTTAAATCCTTGATCTTGGGAATTTTGCCAATACAGAATGTCTGTCTTCGTTTACATCCATCTCGATCGCTTTGTTTACTGTTGTGGTGTACCACAAAAGGGACCCAGACAGGTGCTTGAGTTTGACGTCATGGCTTCACAGCTCACAGCTGATTGGCCGGTGCGCAGTCTACAACGTCCGGGGTTCTTGCAAACCGTCTAGTGTATTCCGATTCCTAGCACTAGGTAGCACCAGCCTGGCTAGTTTAGTCCTAATTTGTACTTAGAATAGTCTCATTCTAGACCTGGTTTAGATCTGGTTGTACTCGCATGGTGAAATATTTTCTTTGGTAGAACTTTTGATGAAAAGTTTGAGAGCCCCTGTCCCTGACTGTAATGTGAAGAGTTCAGATCAGAAGAGTTCAGACTAACAAACCAGAGAAATCCAATCAGAGAACAGTGTGGTTCTTAAGTATTTTAAAACTGACATGGCGTTTTACCTGTAAACAAGGAAGTCAATAACGCGAACCACTGAGAAACAAGGTGGACCTCTGATTAGGGTGAGCAGATTTTCAAAGAAAAGATATAAATAAAATTGGGAAAGAGTGCTTAACATTGTCCATTCTCGACTCAGTTTGGGCCCTAATCTGAGAGACTTCTATTGGTGCATTTTTGTTTTCGTTTTGTTTTGTTTTACCTCATGGTCATTTTCAAGTTCGGTTTTCTGTATTTTGACAAAAACATATGACAATATATTCTCCTCTTTACCACTGGTGAGTATCAGATTCACACTGTTCACACTGTCATTAAAAGATCAGATACAGGTCAGATGGGGCAAAAAATCAGATTAAGGTCACTTCAGGCTGCAGTATGAATGTAGCCTTAGAAGTTCATGTAATTATCAGTTGTTTACTAAAAAACAAAGAAGTGCTTGAATTGGAAAAACCTGATATGCACTGCCATACCAAGAAGTGAAACAAACTATTACTGTGAATGTTTATTTGTTTCATGTATCCTGCTGACAATGCCCAAAAAGTACAAAATATTTAACGGAAAATCAGATAACATAAGATGACAAATGTACTTTTAAAGAATGTATGCTAGAATGATAGAATGCCGTTTTGTCCCACACTGCCAACACACCATCAGTCTCCATTCTATGCCCAATCTCTTCACATTTCTAATAATAGCTTTGATAATATATCGAGGACTTGACATATCACTGATCCACACCACGGGGCTAATGGCACCCAGCAAAGATGGATGAGCGCGGTTTCATTCAACAGCACTGAAAATGACTTTGAAAAAACTGTTATCTTCCAGTAGAAATCCCCCTTGGCTAAAATATTTCAACATTGTGAATGGTAAAATGAGAGCAAATGTTGATGTATTCTTAATTACACAAAGGTTTACGTGACATTTGAAGATCATGATAGAATTATAGAGCTATAATAAAGAGCTTGATGGTCATTGGTTGAGGCAAAGATAACGAGCTGTGATTGGCTGACGGCGAAAGACAAGCGAAAAAAGCAGGACATTTTCTACAATGTTGAATTTTTTTACATTTAGTTTCTACCAAAGTTTAGAGTACAACCTAATTTTTTCTGCTCTTACTGTGTTTTGAAACCTACAATGCTATCTCTGTTTTTAAGAGTATGCAAACAATGAATGAAATGAAGAAATGAAAGTCTTATTTCCTCTATTATCCAAAGCTATATTTTGTGGTCAAATAGATTCACATTTGGGCTGAATGAATTTGGCAAAATGTGTACTGTATTTTTCGGACTATAATTTGCACTTTTTTTTTCATGGTTTGGGTGGTCCTGCGACTTAAACTCTGGTCCAACTTATATTAAAATTTTCACATTGACACTTGTGTGTCAGTATCTGCTGCTCCTATTACTCCAGTACCACTGTCACTTGACTCTACTGCGCATGTCTCCTGCAGAAAGAGCCTCTGTCCTATCTGTATCGTGTCAGTCGATCACGCCATTACTTCTGAACCACTGAAAATTTAAAATTTAAATAACTTCAGTGACAATCAAACCCAACCTCTCGGGACTCAGAAAGGCCGGAATAATTCTAACTGGAACTGATGCTAAGTCTGATGACAACTATGCAGAAGAGGAAGTGGCGCTCTGTTTACTGAGGTCACGGAGTTGCTCAGAAGTGACACCGAAGAAGAAGAACTCAATGGATTTAGTGATTTTTTTTTAGTGAGATGGAGAGTTTGGTAAACTTGTTCTGTTCTGTTGTTTATGTTATAGTTTATCTGAAGAACTGTTCATATGTGATGTTAACAGTCTGTTGTTCTACTATTCTCTAACAAGCAAATTTTGTTTTTAAAATCACATTTCATAACATTTGCACAGATTACAGGGTTAGCCGTTTTTAGGCGGCATAAAACAAGAGATTTTGTAATTTATGAAGGACATTATGGTCTTTCAAAAA